AATGAAAATAATTTTATGGTTGGGGGTCACCACAACATGAGGAACTGTATTAAGGGGTCGCGGCATTAGGAAGGTTGAGAACCGCTGTTCTAGAGGCTTCTGCATCCTTGCCTTATGGCCCCTTCCACCATCTTCACAGCACATCATCCTGACCTCTGCTTCTGTCATTACATCTCCTCTGACCCTGACCCTCCCACCTCCATCTTATAAGGACCCTTGTGATGACAGAGCCCACCTGATAATCCAGGATAATCTTCCCTTCTCAAAATCCTTCACTTAATCCCATCTGCAAAGTCCCTTTTGCCCTAGAAGGGAGCATGGCCACAGGTGCTGAGATTCGGATCCTTGGCAGCCGTTATTCTGCCAGCCACACAGTAATCGGATCCTCCGACTTCAGCTCTGGGCCGATGTCAGGTGCTGGCAGGGCTGTGGAGCGGGGCAGCCTTCAGCCATGCAGGTGGGAGAGGCCAAGGAGCCCTTGGGAGAGCCAGCGACAGTTTACTGAGTCTGGAGTCCCGAGGAAGATGTGTGCAGCCTGAGGTCACAAATTCCACAGCTTGGTGTGGCCTTTCAACTAGGGGTTGTAACCTGTTAAAAGACAGTGAAATCAATTTAATGGATCATGCCTAGTAACTTTAAAAACCAGATTAAAATAAGATTAAAAATCTCAGTGTTCATTGTCTGTTGTAAGGGTGTTTGTGAAGCCTGTTCTATTTAAAACTCTTGGTGAATTGGAGAAAATGTGTGGGATAGAGTTCAACAAAGGGTGGACCTGAGGGGCGAACTGCCCTGCCCAGAACATCAGGCCCATTGGGGACACTCAGATCACGGACAACATGTGCAAAAGCCCAGAGGCAGGGAGCATCTGGTAGACCCTGTGCCAACGGGGTTCGTGTGTCATGAGAGCTGTGGGGAGATGTGGGCAGGAGAGCTGGTGAGTCGGGGTGGCTGTAGCCCAGATTGTCAGAGGTTCTGGGGCCACACCCAAGTTTCATCTTGCATCCATTGAACAAGTACTGGAGTGTCTTTGCCCAACTATAAATCTGTGGTTGGGACCCGGCCCTTGTGGGGTCTGCACATCCCAACCAGGCTTTTCCCGTGTGCTCTGCCTCCTTGGGGTACAGAAGGTGTTCACCATGCGGCATTCATTGTCCATGCAGCTTTCCTTTTTGGTGGGGCACCCTCCCTGGCTTTGGGATTCACAGAAGGCAGAACTTGTAAACCTCACAGAATTTGTCTGTTTCCAGACGCTTCTTTGGTTCAGTTTGTTTGCGGATGCTCTCGCTTCCTCAGCTACTGATTTTGAGGAGCTGGGCTTAAAACGGGCAGTGCTTGAAAGACTGAATGGGGAAAGTGCTTCTAGTTATGTGACTCGTGAAGTGGCAAGGATTTGGAAATGTGTGAGTAAAGGCAAGCGTCCTTGGGCTACATTCTGCTGTATGTAGGAGTGTAATGTGGAATTAAGACTTAAGCATGTGATCAATTCAGTTAATCGTGCTTTTGCTTGTGCAGTTTAGGAACCATCATCATTGCCAGAGCCTGACAGAACGTGAGCCACTTATTGGAGCACCTGTCATCACAGCCTCGGCCATCCAGTACATACCAGGAAGTTCCAAGTAAGTGTAAGAACAAGGCACTGAAGAATGCAGCTTCTTGCCAGGGCAGCCGTCAGGCCTGCATGCTGTGGGGAGAAGATGGCCCCATTTGGTTCTGAGTTCCTGGGGTGTCCAGGGTCTGCTCACCCTTAGAGGATCCTGGATCCTGGAGCTCTCCGGGGGTGGCTTTGCTGGATGTCTCTTCTCTAATCCACACACTCCACGTTTGCACTCTTGCCCTTCAGTGTCTGAACGCCTGTCCCTCTAGAAGCCCTGAGAACCACTGTGCATTTCCGGTGGTGCTGTGGTCGCCCAGGACAGGCTGCCTTGTCCGTGTCCTGTGGATCAGGCAGGACAGCACTTCTGGGCTCCCTGAGGGCCGTATTCACCCCGGCTCATGCCCTGCAGGTGATGGTAACCAGTGACAGCTGGAGGCAGGGGGGGCGGGGAGGGGAATGGTCTTTAAAAATAGAAGATTCTTTTAAAATGCATTTAAAAGAATCCTATTGCCTAGTTGCTTCTGGTTTTCAACTCCAGGCTGTCGGCCTCCTCCTATACTTTTCTAATAAACCAGGGACAGAGGACAGAGGGTTTTAAAGTGGTAGGTAGACTCTGATGGTGGCCCAAGGTGGTCACTGGTAAGAGAGGAAACAAGCAAATCACCTCCCAGCTCCCACTCACGAGGCGAGGGTGATGGGATAGAGGACCCACCATCCCATGCGCTCCCTGCTGTCCCAAGTTGGCTGCCCTGGTGGCCTGAGAAAGGCTGCCTCGTGTTCAGTGTTAACCTTGGACAAAGGCCACGTAACTAATTAGGGCCAGGTTTCAAATAGAATGTGGCCTTTTCAAATGCATCAAAAACCCCGAACCGCTTTTCAGAAATATTCTCCTTTGATCCTGTATCGCGTCTCTTGGCTGCTGTACCTTGACCATCAACCTGGTGACTTCAAACAACCCACATTTATTCTCTTAACAGTTCTGGGGGTCAGAAGGCAGGACTGAGTGTTACAGTCAAGGTGTTGATAGGGCCACTTCTTCTGGAGATGTCAGGGGAGACTCGATCTCCTTGATATTTTTCAGCTTCAAGGGGCTGCCTGCTTTCCTTGGCTTAGGGGCCCCTTTCTTGACTCACTCCAGCTGCTGCCTCTGTCGCTCTGTTGTCTTGTCTCTTTTTCTGACTCTGACCCTCCTTCCTTCCTGTTATAAAGACCCTATGATGACATTGGGCCCCCAAGTAATCCAGGATCATTCCCATCTCGAGGTCCTTGATTTAATCCCATCTGCAAAGTGCCTTTCGCCATGAAAGGGAGCATAGCCACAGTCCCAGGATTAGGATGGGGACGTCTAGTCGGGGGGCGGGGAGGCGGAGAGGAGACGGGGGGCATTATTCTGCTGATCACAATCTTGTCCAAACTGCCAAACAGTCTTATATTCCCACCTGCAGAGTGTCAGGGCTCTGATTTCTCTACGTCCTCGCCTACACTTGTTATTGTCTGTCTGTCTTATTCTAGCCATGGGGGTGGGGCAGTGAGTGGTATCTCACTGTGGGTTTGATTTGTATTTCCCTGTTGGCTAACATGGCCCCTTTTCATGGGCTCATTGACCTTTTTTGTATGAGGTCTGACAGTTTAAGTTCGCAGGCTTGCCACCATGTGCTTACATTGGCATCACCATACAAACAGCTCAGTAAGGTTTCATAACCTTGGTATATCAGTGTCTCACAGCTGTGCTCGTGTCGACATGTGGCGGTGTCTTGCCGAGTGGCGTTCATTATTGTTGCGTGTTTTTGTGTGTCATCATGAGAATGTCTGAACTTGAATAAAAGCAATGAAAAAACATTAAATTTCTTGTTAAACTTGGCAAGAGTGGAAGTGAAATCGGGGACATGTTAGTTCAAGTTTATGGGGATAATGCCATGAGAAAATGGTAGTATACAAATGGATTAAACGTTTTTCTGAGGAGAGAGAACATGTCACTGATTAAGAGAGGTCAGGGCAGCCAGTAATGAGCAGAACTGATGAAAACATTGCAAAAATTTGTCGAATTGTGTATCAAAATCGTCGGCTGACTGTGAGAAGCATAGCAGACCAAGTAACCATCGATAGAGCAACAGTTAGGAAAATCTTTTTTTTTTTTTTTAAAGTTTCAAACTTTTTTTTTTTTTTAAAGATTTTTATTGGGGAATTGGGGGGGTTGGGAACAGTGTTGGGGAATTGGGGGAAGGGG